TAACATGATCTCATTTATCCTACCATTTCCTCTGAGGAAGGAGCTATTGTTACCTCAATTTAGTAGATAGGATGTTGAGGCTCTGATAAGTTAAATAATGTATTAAGGTTATACAGCTCATAAGCGAGCAAACGTTCACCATAGAGTGTGAATTAGGGTGTGGGTGAAGACTATTGAAAGTACCATGGACTGCTAGAAGAATAAGCAAATCTATCTCGAAAGAAGTACAGCCAGAATGTACCTTGGAAGCTAGGATGGCGAGACTTCATCTTTACGTACTTTGGACATGGAAAAGAAGGTCATGCTTGGTGAAGCGGAAGTCAGTGAACAGAGGAAGACCTTCAAAGAGACGGATTGACCAGCGGCTGCAACAGTGGACTCAAACATAGTCATCGAGGATGGAGTGGGACCAGACATTACCATTTCATTGTTCACTGGGTCACTGTGAGTTGGGGCCGACTTGACAGCGGCACAGATGGTGACTGTGTTGTAGACACTAATGGATAATTGTGATGTGATTACAAATAGAAACAACAAGTTGTGTAATTAAGGATGTAATTAAGGATGTGCCCCTGTCTTTTTATGAGACTATGAATTCTATAGGAAGATGGCTTGGTTCATATGTGAATTGTTTATATTAAAAAGTTCAAAATCCTATTTAGATAGCAAAAAACTTTCTATATTACACGAAAAACTAGAAAATCAACAAGAAATACATTAAGACCTATATATATCAAAGAGCAAAACATATAGTCAAGCAGTACAAATACCATTGAGGAATAAAGAAAGCTTAGTCTTGCAGGAATCAAATGAATGTCAGTGTAAACCAAAATGTGGCAAACTGGCAAAAATGTATAAAATGTTAGTCTTCAAAGCTGGTACGCTCAATTGTTGTTTGTCACTTAGGAAGTGTTTATTGTAGCATTCTCAGTTCCAGTTGTTCCTCAGGAATCACATGAAGAACGTTTTTTATGACTTTTGATTTGGAAATAATTGAGCCCTTTACCAAATTGTTCTTCATGGTAACACCTGCAGAACTGTAGTTCAGTATTTCCACCTGGAAACTGATTACTATACAATCTGTGGACCCTATTCAAACTTCAACTCGGGGAACTTTAAAAAATAATATTCATGGACCCCAATCCAGATCAATGGAATCAGAATCTCTGGGAGTTGGGCCCACCTTTGGTAGTTTTTTAAAGCTCCCCATGGGTTTATTGAATGTTTTAGGGTTTTAATTTTTATCAATACAATTTGTTTTTTCATTGTTGTGTATATACACAGGAAAACATACACCGATTCATCAGTTTCTACACGTACAAGTCACTGACTTGATAACATTCTTTGAGGTGTGCATTGATTCTTACCCTGTTTTTCTCAGTTGTTCCTTGGAAAGATGATTAGCGATTAGACAGAGAACATTATGGGTTCATTGACATAAACTCACTGCCCATAAGCTTCTCTGTCTAATCTTTTAAATTGCTGTTGTCAGTTAGCTCCTATTATTGTTGCTAGGTGCAGTCTAGTCCGTTCCAACTCATAGTGACCCTGTGCACAACAGAACAAAGCACTGTCTGGTTCTGTGCCAGCCTTGTAATGGTTATGTTTGAGCCCACTGTTACTGCCGTGGAATCAGTCCATCTCAGTGGAGGTCTTCCTCTTTGTTGCCCACCCTCTTTACCAACAACAATGTTTTCCTTCTCCAGGGATTGGTCCCTTTTGATAATGTGTCCAAAGTACGAGAGACAAAGTCTTGCTATCCAGACCAGTCTGGAGCAGCTAGAGGAACAGAAGATACTTCTTGAAAGAAAGACCAGCAGGAAAAACCCAAAACAAAAATGGCAGTATGATTAGCTACTACAAGAACAAGGAAGTTGTTCACTGGGAAGCCATCAAGGCAAGCAATCAAGTCCCTTCAGGACAACCCCTTCTCCAAGACTGAAACTCAAAGGAAACACATGAGCAGGCATGTAAGCTTGCTGGCGACTACATTGGTTTCCTGGTGAGTGGAAGAAGGAGAAAGGCAGCAATAAAGAAATGGACTGAGTTCAGCCATGGTCCGTTGACTCCTGTTGACCTGGAGATGAGAGAGAGAAGAGGAAGGGCTGGTTGGTCCAAAGTGTGGTGAGAGACCTGTGGACTCTTGTGCCCATGGACAAGGACATAGACATAGAGAGCTATAGCTGAGAGCAAAGTGCCCAGCTGATATGAGGTGAGGGGAGACGCAAAAGAACATGCAAACTTGTAGATAGTACCCATTTGACCTAGCCTCGATGGCTTGATGGTCAAAACTCAACTAGAGGAAGGTTTTTTGATAAAGGAAACAAGTGTAAATTGCTACAATTTGATGAACTTGACCTATACTTATGGATGTACTAGCTCGAAATAACAGCTAAGAGGGAAGGAGTCTTCACATCCAGTATCAATCCTGTCCCCTTTGTATACAGGGTTGATAGGGATGGGCAACTTAAACATTGGCTACCTAAAATGGGAGGGGCTATAAACAACATTCTTATCAATGGAGACAAGATTGAAGTTGTCAAGGACTTCATTCTTCTTGGATCAACTACCAACACTCACAGAAGCAGCAGTCAAGAAATCAAACGATGTATTGCATTAGGCAAATCTGCTGCACAGGAACTTTTTAAAGTGTTGAAGAACAAAGATGTCAGCCTGAGGACTAAGGTGCGCCTGACCCAAGCCATGGTATTTTCAGTAACCTCATATACATGCAAAAGCTGGACAGTGAATAAGGAAGACAGTAGAAGAATTGATGCTTTTGAGTTACAGTGTGTTGGAGAATATTGAAAATGCCATGGGCTGCCAAAAGAACCAGTATATCCATTTTGGAAGAAGTGCAGCCAGAATGTTTCTTGGAGGCCAGGATGGCCAAACTTTGTCTCTCATACTTTAGACATATTGTCAGGAGGGACCAATCATTGGAGAAGGATATCATGTTTGGTAAGGTGGAGGGTCAGAGAAAAAGAGGAAGACCCCCAATAAGATGGATTGGCCAAGTGGCAGCATCCATGGACTCAAGTGTGGCAACAATAGTAAGGTTGGTCCAGGATTGGGCAATGTTTCATTCTGCTGTGCATAAGGTTGCTATGGGTCGGTACCGACTTGATGGCACCTAACAACAACAACATAAATGCATGAAGTGACTGGCTTACAAGTTTTCAAGAGGGAGTTTAGTTTCAGAATTGGGGGAAGGTAAAATCTCCACTGAATAGTTTTCATCTTATCTAGACGGGTCTGGTGAAATGAGATGGGGGATAAGATTCTTATGATTCAGTAGTGAGTAATTGTTGTCATGACTAATTGTGACTGTCACAACTCTAAAGGTAGAAGTTTTGTAACAAAAAGAGGGGAGTAGTTAATGTTACAGTCCAGGAACAGAGAACCCTAGGACCATCAAGGGAGAAGAGCACGAGCGGTCTTTGGTCACTAGTGTCTAGTGCATCAAATCTCTTCTTACGATGGTCTGTAAATTCAGGTGGGATATATTCAATGTCATATTATCATGGATTTATAATTTTCTCCAGCTTCACCTTGAATTTGCATGTAAGCAGTTCCAGTCTGTCCCTGGCCTTATTTTGGCTGATGATACTGAGCTTCTCCATTGTCTTTTCCCACAGATGAGTTGATTTGATCCTCTATAGATAGATCTTAAAAGAGCATAATGCCAAGAGCAGACCTTTTTTTAGTAAGCTAAACTAGGATTTTAAGAAACCTCATTCATTGTTGATGGCATTTTAAACTACTCGTAGTCCCTGATGAACAATGAAGTTCTGTTCGTAGGACTGCACCTTTGTTTGTTCTGACATAAATCATATACTTCTTTCTGTGTGTGTGTTTAGTTTTATTATTGCTTATTATCTGTATCTTTAACAATATGATCATAGTTGATCTTTAGGGGTTATTAGAAACATTACATGCAAACTTACAGATGTATTTTAATACATACATACCCCGACTATGCAGAGTGATGATGTTAGCATTTTGTCAGTTGTAGTAATAACTCCATTTGTGCAAAGTCCTGGATCACCCCAGTTATCCCTGGAGTTGGGATGGCTTTTCTAGTCAGGAAATGAGGGAGAGTTGTCTACATGGCCCTTTTTTCTTTCCTTGTAGATTTCACAGTGACCCCTCACTGCTCCCTGAACCTGCATGTCAACGTTAGCAAAGGAATCAGGGACTAAGCCCCTGTTTGCAGGCAACTGAAGCTCCTGATTTAGTTTAGAAAATGAAATCTCTACACTAGTGTTTTGACATTAAATCATAAAATTAAAACATCTGAGAATGAAAACCTTAGAAAATTATAAGATATACCAAAACCACTCCCAAAACGGTGATCGTAAGTGTTGTTTGCTGTAACTTGAATACATTGTAAGTCGGGAACTGCTTATAGTATGCTAGAAGAATAAAATCATTTAATCAGTACATAAACATCCCTTTTTTAGCACTCGTTTGGTAAGTATGAAATGTACATATTCTTTTCTTCTCTTGGATTGACAACCATGTTTTATGGGCTGATCTGCAATAGTCAAAAAAGTTTTGTACAAAATACTTTTTTTGTTGTTAACTACAGAAGAAAATAATTAACAGCTGTGCAACAGAAATGTTGATTCAGTAGTTCCTTTAAAATGATTCACTATGAAAAATAATATTTTTATTGCCAACTCATGTCAAGCTTAAATTGCATAAAATCTGTCAGTGATCTGGTCTGTTGGAACGGGTGTGTTTTATATATATATGAGTATTCGGTAGCTTTGTCCCTTTTTAGCTGAATGTGGGAAAATAATTTCAATCTGGTGTCCATCCCTTGTTGAAGACTCTCTGAGAGTTTTAGAAAGTAGTCTGTATTTCACAAAGCTACAGAGGGATGAAACTCATTTCTTAACGGTGCAATTTCATAGTTGTGAAATGCTGGCTATTTATTTAATGTAAAGCTGGGATGAGTTTAGTAACTCCAGTAATAAAATCCAGTTCTTTTACAGGTACTCACAGTTTTATTTGGAAGATAGCTTTTGCCATTATAACATGTTTAACCATCATTTCTTTGATGGAAAGGTAAGACTTAAATGACCATTATTACTTCTTTCTTTTATTGTGGAAGAATACATTTAAGGGCCCTCTTTTTGCTATCTTTCTGTCCATTTCCTAGAAATCACTGTGACTGTTTCATCATTTATTGCCATTTGTTTTTATTAATTCACCAAGTGTTTACTGAGTACCTAGAAGTGGTCATGTTATCACCCTCTGATGACTTGAGACTGCTTTGGGGGGTCTTCCCAAGGCCTCTGCAGCTCTCTGTGACCCAGACCCCACTAGATTTCCACCCTGTCTTCTCCCTGCACCCGCCTGTGCTGTTTGGGCTCGGGACTCATTGAACTGATCAGATCTCTTTTGTGCCACATTTACACATACATTTGCCTCTGCCATCCACTCTCTTGTAGCCTTGTTAATATGAACTCATTCTCCGGAGCTCTGGTCAGACATCACTACCTTCAGCTTCCTTCAGTTCCCAGACAGGGTCAATAAAGGTCTTTTCCTTTATAGACTTGTTGTGGTCAGTTGTAAGTTGCCACCAAGTTGGCTTAAGTTCATGGTGGCCCTGCTGTGTCAGAGTAGAACAGTGCCATAAGGTTTTCATTTGTCAGTGACCTTTCAGAAGCAAATTACCAGGCTTTACTTCTGAATAACCTCTGGGTGGGTTTGAACTGCCAACCTTTGGTTAGTAGTCCAGCACTTATCCATTGTGCTACACAAAGACTCCTTTATAGACTTAATGTGTTATATAAATAAATAGTTGATTCGGTGGCTAATTGTTAGCTGTGTATAAACACCATGTCCCAGTTAAGAAGGGTTATGTTTTTACTAACCTGATCCGTAAAGAAATGGACAAAGGTTTTAAAAATGCTGCTTCACGTACAGTGTCACTGCAAATTCACAACATAGCAGAGCTGATCCCTCTAGTTGGAGCACTTTGTCAAAATAAAAACTATAGCCATCCAAGCAATCATGTCTGTCAGGAAGTTGGCTGGAAAGGCTGTGAAATCATCAAGAAGACTACAGGAAGCATACCTAGGTGGTTGTTGAGTGTCCGCGAGTCGGTTCTGACTCATTGTGACCCTGTATTGGGTTTCCAAGGCTGTAAATCTGTAGGAGCAGAAAGCCTTATCTTTCTCCTACAGAGCAATTGATGGGCTCAAACCATCAACCTTGTGGTTCGCAGTCCAGTGCTTATCTCTTACAGAGTCACTGTGCTCCCAGAGTATACCTACCTGTAAGGTACAAGTATATACTCGTGCTTCGAGTGTCTGTTGTACTCTGGGATATTAGATAAAGATAAAATGGGAGCATGGTTTGCAGGACTAAAAAAAAAAACCTGAGCATTTAGGAAATGAAAACAAACTCTAAATGGTTGCTTGGGGTTGAAAACAAGTCTTCTGTGTTGATAAGGACAGCCAGTGATGCGTTCCTTTCTTTTGAATCCGTTTAGCATTGCGATCCATGTCCCAGCCATGATAGCCGTTAATACCAAGTATCCAAAATAGCAGTTAAAAGGGTTTCAGAACTGATTAGGTGAGAGCGATGGGCAGCAGGAAGTGAAAGTCACCTGACGAGAGACCACTAACTAGGAGAAAGAGGAGAGAATTGGGTTCTGCAGACAAGTCACGGATGGCAAGGAGACGACGTAGTGACCCTGTGTACTGAGGAGCACTCCGAGATGACTCAGCCCTGTAACCTGGGTTGCGTTTCCCTTCTCGAAACAAGGAAAGGATGTTTGGAGATGTTGGGTGTGGAGGACTGCGGGGGTATTGACAGGGGCTTTGCAGCAGGGCCAGCTGACAGTCTGGGTGCTTGAGTCAGGGTGAGGTCAGGGCTGGTGACATCACCACCTCAAGTAATCCAGTGCGTGTTACTACTCGACGCTGCTGTGGTGGGCTAGTGATTTGTTTTGTAAGCAGCATATATGAATTTGATTTTTATCTTGAATAAAGACAAAAGTAGGGTAAAAAATAGAGACAAAAGAAGGATAAAATTACATTTAAAGACCTAGTGGTTTAATATACTTTTTAGAAGGTAACTTGTCATTAGCCCTATTGTAGAAAATTCTCTATAACATTACAGAACAACTTTAAGTTTATAGCATAACTGTTGGAATGAGCTGCAAAGACTGAACGTTCCCTTCATCTTTCCAGAAGGAAACAGCCATTCAGCTCATTAAAACGTCCTCACTATATAAGTGGCACTGTAGGATCAGCTCTGAACTGCTAACCACAAGTTAACCCTATCCAGCTTCACTATGAGTCAGAACTGACTTAATGTCACTTAACAACAACAATGGACTCCTGGTGTGGCGCTGTAGGATCAGCACTGGACTGGAAACCAAAAGGTCAGCAGTTCAAACCCACCAGCTGCTCCTTGGAAACCCTATACAGGGTCGCTATGAGTCAGAACTGACTCATTAGCACTTGACAACAATAATAGCAATATACATGAGAAGCCACCACTCAGTCCAGGAGACTCCTGTTCTAATGATTTTCATGTCTCCGCCACACTGGAGTCCTGGCATGGCTCTGTGGGATAATGCACTGGTCAACAAGGGTAGCTTGAACTGCAAGGTTGGTAGTTCAAATGCACCAGCTGCTCCTCGGAAACACACTATACAGGGTCACTATGAGTTGGAACCAACTCAATGGCACTTAACAACAGTAACATTGCCCCCTTTTTCCTACCTACTCCTAAGTCAAATTTTTCCATACAAACTTACCATTTACTAATCAATCATTGAAGGAGCCCTGGTAGCATGGTGGGTTATGAATTGGGCTGCTAACTACAAGGTCAGCAGTTTGAATCTACCAGCCGCTCCACTGAGATAAATGAAGCTTTCTGCTCCCGTAAAGATTTACAGCCTGGGAAGCCCTATACAAGGTTGCTAAGAGTCAGAACCGACTCCACAGCACACTACCACCACTGTGACCAATCAATCACTGAAGTCCTGGGGCTATAGTATAAGCACTGGACTGCTAACTGCAAGGTTGGTGGTTCAGACCTACCAGCTGCTCCTTGGAAACCCTTTTACAAAACCCTTTTACGAAACCCTTTTATAAAACCATCTCGTTGTGAGAGGAAATTGACTTGACTGCACACGAAACAACAGTCAATCATTAGGAGCGCTGGCGTTGCTGCAGGATAAACACTGGACTGCTAACCACAAAGTCAGCTGTTCAAACCCACCAGCCACTCTGAGGGAGAAAGATGAGGCTTTTCATAAAGATTTACAGCCTCAAAACCTTATACAGGGTCAACGTTGAGTTGGAACCATCACTCACTAAGTAAGTATCTACTAGGTGCCTCAGAAGTCTCTGGTGGCGCAAGTGAGTAAGTGCTTAACTAGTAGCTGGATGTCCGCGGTTCACAATGAACTTTCATTTGTTCCAGGCTGCCCTTGAAGAGTGCCGAGCGTTTTTACAGGAAGATGAAGGCGAAGGAGTCATTATAGTGACAGATCCCCCTTTTGGTGGCCTAGTTGAACCTCTGGCTGTTACATTCAAGAAGTTAATTGCTCTGTGGAAAGAAGGTCAAAGGCAAGGTGTGTAATTTATGACTTACTGCCAACTCCACATGCATCTACTCCCTGCCAGACACCTGCAGAGCCTCTTGAGCCAGAGCAGTGAGAGGCTGTAACTAGAGAGAGAGCGCCAGTCATATGTTTCAGCAGGCCAGTTTGATGCTGCGGCACATGTCGTTAGAACAATGAGCATGGTGTGATCCTAATCAGGCATGTTTAAAATGGCTTGTTGGTAAAATACTTGTTTGCGGCAGGGAGTAGGGACATCATGAAGGACAGCAGTGACCGTTGCCATTCATTCAGTGAAAATTCACTGAGTGTCCGGGTGCGGGCAATACAGGAGTGAGACCCAGATCTCTGCCACGTGAGCCTTGTATTTCCTGATCGTCAGGTTTTGCGTAAACTTTTAAGAGGGCACCCAGCCTGTGGCCCAGATTTGGGTGTGGGGGTCAGACATCCAGTAGCCTAGCGGTGGTCCTCAGTGACACACAGATACCAATCTGGAACATTGCTTCATGGCTTTGTGTTACTCCTCAGCTTGGGGTTTGTCAGACCATCCTTGTTTAAGGGTGCCTTTCTAGTTTGCAGATTGACAAGCTGTGGGAGTGTCAGGATTGGGGGGTGGGGTCAAGCTTCGCCATGAATTGTCCTACATCAGGAATGTGCATTGGTCAAACACTGCAAAACTGGACTCAGATTCTTAATGGTTCCACATACTTGCTCTTGTGACGTCCACTGAGGAGAACGGGTACAATCACTGTTACTGGGAAAGAACTTTATGAGTTTGCATTCCTGTTCTGCCACGTCTTAGTGTAAACATGAACTTGTGACTTAATAGCTAGTGTTTCCAGTTTCCCCATTTGTAAAATGGGGTTATTAATCTCTAAGTAAGGCCTATTTTAAGGAGACAGTATATGGAATATATGAAGGTTCTTTAGAAAGTTTGTGGGAAAATGGGCTGAAAAGATAATGGAATCTTCCCACAACCTTTTTGAAGCCCACTCTTGTATATTGAGAGACAGTGTGTAGACTGTGGGATCTGTCAGGTATAGCGTGCCCGGTGCTTCATCACATGGCGAGGATGATGCAGAACTGGGCAGTCTCTCCTTCTATTGTGCAGGAGGGTCACCATGGGTCACAACAACCACAGTCTAGGCTGGGGACTCTGTAATAGTAGGTCCTTGTCCTGCTTCTAATCAAAACTCATTTTGATAAGACTGCTTTTAAGGATCTTCCACAATTCAGAAGACTGATTCATCCTCGGAAACCAGGATTGAGTTGTGGCCAAAACCCATTGGCATTGAGTCAGTTCCTACTCATAGCGACCCTGTTGTTCTTGTCATTAAGTGCTTTCAAGTCGGTTCTGACTCCACATAGTGACCCTGTAAAGGGTTTGCCAGGAGCAGCTGGTGGGTTTGAACTGCCGACCTTGTGGTTCACAGTCCAGTGCTGATGGTACAACGCCACACCTGGATCTTTTAGGACACAGTTCGAACTGTCCGTCTTTACGGGAGCAGACAGCCTCATCTCTCTCCAACAGAATGACTGGTGTGGCTGAGCTAGCATTTAGACCTGCCCCTCCTAGTAAGCCAGGAGGATGCAGACCCTGTACATTGGACGTACGTTGGACGTTTGAGCTGCTGTTTGCAGATGACAATGTCGCCATCATATCTTGTAGCTGGTCTGCAGGAGAAGGTCACTGGACTTGGGGTTGTCTCAGATGAAGTACTGGGCTCTGTATACTAATTCCTGAAGTCTGTCAATTTTAAGGGGATGACAGTCTCTGCAAAGGTCACATTTATGGCAGTGGAGTGGGGCACGTCAGTGTGGCCATTGGAGGGGTTGGGGCTGAGGGTGATTACCATATGGGCTGAGAAGTCACATGCTTATGTTCCTTTGCACTGGGGCTTCCCTGCCCTGTGACTGGTGCTTCAGGGACTCGAGGGGACACCCAGACTTCTGCATGGCACAGGGCAAGCCAGGCAGCTCACTGTCCACCATGGTGGCCACAAGGAACTGTGAGAACGTCCCGTGCTGTGCAGGGATGTGGACTGCGGCGGGTCTGCTCATTTCGCTGGAGCGGATTGTTGATCCTCACCATGTCGGCCAGTTTGAGAGGCTGCTCGTCCTGGTTGCAGGGCTCCATCCACTACAACATTGCTATCTTTGTGTTTCAAAGTGAGAATTCCTTTTTACTTCTCGCTTTTTTGTTGATATCTTTGCCCTTCCCTCGATTATATCATAGTTGTTAGGTGCTGCTGAGTTGAGTTAGACTCAGAGTGACCCCAGGAGACTGAGTAGAACTGTCCCATTGGGGTTTTCCAGGCTGTAAGCTTTAGAGAAGCAGTTTGCCAGATCTTTCTTCTGTGGAGCTACTGGGTGGCTCTGAACTGCCAACATTTCTTTTAGCAGCAAGTGCTTAACCTAGGACTCCTTCTAATGATAAACATACAACGAATACTTCTCGATACTCTTTGTAGCGGTGCAATGATATAACATCTGCATTGATAACTGGAAAAGTCTGGTTGTAAATACCCCTGTGGTGACCATTCTCTAGTGTTTGTACAAGATTTACTTTTATTCAACAATTGCAGTTTCTCCCAGTACCAGAAGCTTTTCAGTTATAGTTACTGGTTTATATTTTCTCTCATACCAATTTCTGACTCCTCACTTTTTCTTTCCATATGCACTAGATGATAATCACAAAGAACTACCCATTTTCTGGATTTTCCCCTATTTTTTTGAATCTCGAATTCGTCAGTTTTTTCCAAGCTTCAGCATGCTGGATTACCAGGTATAGTAATGCTACCTAGAATGGTTGGGAATGTGTGTTCTGCTTATATAAATATTCTGATAAGCCTGTCTATCATTTGGGGTAAATTAAATATCCCGTGCTGGGTTAGAACCTAAAATTATGTCATATGTAACTTAGACCACTGGTGCCCAAATGTCTGTCATACCCAGAATGCTTGTTAAAGATACAGATTCTTTGGTCTCAAAGGAAAGCTAATCATTCGCATCAGAGGGTGAGGCTCCCCAGTGGATTCTGAAGTGCATCTAGCTTTTAGGACAACTGATTTGATCTTTTATCAGCCCCAGGAGATTTCGGACACTCCAGGATCATCATTATGAACATGGTTTCCTCTGTCTGGAGCTTGTAGAGCAGTGAGGCCCTTGTCCAGTGGGTAGGATGCCCTGTGCACGGCAGGGCCAGAGAAGGCGGAGTTGAGGCTGGCCAGGAGTTGGATTGTTGGCAGCCTGGGTCAAGGCACAGTTTTAGCCAGAGCTATATTGATAGTGTAGTGGTTACGGATCGGGCTCCACGGGAGAAAGATGAGGCTTTCTGCTCCCGTAAAGATTTACAGCCTCGGAAACCCTGTACAGGATTGCTATGGGTCGGAACTGACTCAACGGTACTTAACAACAACAACATACAGCATGATGCCTTTAATTTCTCTATCATGCCGTATAGCTCTGGCTAAAACTTCCAAAACAATATTGAATAGGAGTGGTGACAAAGGGCATCCTTGTCTGGTTCCCGTTTGCAGAACGGGAAAAGGCTTTCCGTTTCTCTCCATTGAGAGTGATGTAGGCTGTTGGTTTTGTATATATGCTCTTTATTATGTTGAGGAATTTCCCTTCAATTCCTACTTTGTTGAGTGTTTTTATCAGGAATGGATGTTGGATTTTGTCAAATGCCTTTTTTGCATCAATCGATATGATCATGTGGTTCTTTTCTTATTTATAATATTTTAAAACTTAAATATTATTAAATTTATAAATTATTAAATTTATTAATATTTATAATATTTACATTGCTTTTCTAATGTTGAACCATCCTTGCATCCCTTTTATGAAACCCATTTCATGATGTATTATTTTTTTGATGTGCTATTGGATTCTGTTGGCTAAGATTTTTTGGAGAATTTTTGCGTCTGTTCATGAGGTATATTGGTCTATAGTTTTCTTTCTTTTTGGTGTGTGGGTTATGCTTGCTTCATAAAAAGTATTAGGGAGTTTTCCATCCTTTTCTATATTCTGGAATAATTTGAGTACAATTGGTGACAGTTCTTCTCTGAATGTTTGGTAGAACTCACCCGTGAAGCCATCTGGGCCTGGACTTCTTTTCTTTTGGTTGGGAGTTTTTAATGACTTGATCAGTTTCTTCTTTTGTTATGGGTCTGTTCAAGCTTTCTACTTCACTCTGAGTAAGTTTAGGTAGGTTGTGTTTTTCTAGAAATATATCCATTTCTTCTAAGTTTACGAATTTGTCAGAGTGCAACTCTTAATAGTATTATTATTATCCTTTTGATTTCGTTTGGTTCCATTGTGACATCGCCCATGTTGTTTCTAATGCATGTTATTTGTGTCCTCTCCCTCTTTTCTTTTGTTAGTTTTGCTAATGGTTTGTCAATTTTATTAATCCTTTCAGAGAACCAGCTTCTTGTCCTGTTGATTCTTTCTGTAGTTTTTCTGTTTCCCGTTTCATTTATTTCTGCTCTTTATTATTTCTTTTCTTTTGGTGACTGTAGGTTTCCCTCTGCTGGTCTGTTTCTAATTGTTGGAGATGCTTTGTTAATGTGTTAATTTTGGTTTTTTCCTCTTTTTGGACGTGCACATTTATCACAATAAATTGTCCTCTCAGGACTGCTTTTGCTGTGTCCCAAAGATTTGGGACATTCTCGTTTGTTTCTAGGAACTTTGTGAATTCACATTAACTTTTTCTTTTACTCAGTCGCTTTTCAGCAGGGTGTTATTCAGTCCCCATGTATTCGACTTTATTTCCTTGGTTTTCTTATTGTTGATTTCTAGTTTTATAGCATTATGGTCTGAAAAGATGCTTTGTAGTATTTTGATATTTTTTAATTTATGGAGCTTGCTTTGTGACCTAACACATGGACATGGTCAATTCTGGAAAATGTTTCATGTGCACTGGAGCAGAATGTATATTGTGCTGTTGTTGGGTTGAATGCTCAGTACTAATCTATGAGGTCAAGTTGTTTGATTGTGTTGTTTAGTTCCTCTGTAGCTTTGTCGAGTTTCTTTCTGGTGGTTCTGTCTCTTTGCGAAAGTGGTTTATTAAAATCTCTATAATTGTAGATTTATCTATTTCTTTCTTCAATTCTAGTAAGGTTTGCTTCATATATCTTGGTGCTCTTTCCTTGGGAGCGTAGATATTTATTATGGTTATGTCGTCTTGCTCAATTGACTCTGTAGTCATAGATAGTGTCCTTCTTTGTCTCTTATGCTGGTTTTTGTCTTAAAGTTTACTTTATCAGAGATTAATATTGCCACTCCTGCTTGTTTATTGTTGCAGTTAGCTTGGTATATTTTTTTCCATCCTTTAACTTTTAATCTGTTTTTGTCTTTGTGTATAAGCTGTGTCTCTTGCAGGCAGCATAATGAAGGGTCTTGTTTTCTTATCCATTCTGCCACTCTCTGTCTCTTCACTGGTGCATTCAATCCATTAACATTCAATGTAATTATTGATAGATATGAATTAATTGCTGCCATTATGTTAATTTTTTGGTAGTGCTGTTCATTCCTTTGTCCTGCATGACTTCTTTTGCTGAGTTTGTGTTTTTTGTGCTGTTTCTTCTTAGTTTTCATGTTTGCTTGTTCTGCTTGGAAGTTCATTTTCATGGTAAGTTGTGAAGTATTAGCTTTTTTGGGGGTTACCGTATAGTCTATTAACTTTTCTGTATTATTACTAATCTGTATATAATTATTAATCTACCTGACATCCTCACCACCTGAGTCTCTGTTGCTACATTTATCCCTTCTTTGACATTGATATAATTTTGATCTTCAATTGACCTCCCAGCTCCTTTCAATTAGTTGCTGTAGTTTTGTTCTGTTCTGGACTCTGCTGTCTGTTGACTTGAGTTCCAGGTGGTGTTGCCACGCCTGTCAATCTCTGGTTGTTGTGTGTTTTTATTGGTTTGCAGTCCAAAGAACTCCCTTGAGGATGTTTCGAAGTGCTGGATTGGTTTTGATAAAGTCTCTTAGATTCTGTTTATCCTGGAATGTTTTGATTGCACCATCGTGTTTGGTTGATAGTTTTGCTGGATAGACGATTCTTGGTTGGCAGCTTTTTCCTTTAATGGTTTTGTATATGTCTCCCCATTGCCTTCTTGCCTGCATGGTTTATTTTGAATAGTCGGAGCTTAATCTGATTTACTTGCCTGTATAAGTGACACTTCTCTTCTCCCTGGCCACTTTTAGAATTTTCTGCTTGTCTTGGAGTTTGGATAGCTTGATTATTATATGTCTTGGTGACTTTCTTTTAGGGTCTATCCTTCCTGGGGTACGTTCAGCTTCTTGAATGTTTATCTTCTCATCTTGCAAGATGTTAGGGAAATTTTCTTCCAGCAGCTCTTCAACTATCTCCTCTGTGGACTTCTCTGATTCTTCCTGTTCCAGAATGCCAATACTTCTTAAGTTGTTCTTCTTCGTGTTATCCAGCATGAATCTTAGACTCTCTTCAGATTTTTTTATCCTTTTTTCAGCTTGTTCTTCTATCTTAACTGTATTGAGAAATTCTTCTTCCAGCTCGCTAGTTCTGGCTTCCATCTCTTCTATTCTGCTCCTTTCCCCTTTCAGTGTATTGTCCATTTCTGATATTTTATTATTAATCATCTGGACCTCTATTTGCAGGTTTTGAATTGTTTCCAATGCTGTATCAATCTTGTTTGATTGCTCTTATAGTACTTTCCTGACTTCTTCCTTGTTTCCTCCACCCCTTTTTGGAGCATTTGAATTTGTTTTCATATCATTCTTCTGAATTCTTTCTCAGGCAAGTCCAAACTCTGCTCTTCCTCTTCTGGGGAGCCTTTGTCTGTCTCTAATGCATTTGTCTCAATTACTCTTTTCTGGTTTTGGACATGTTTTGAGATTGTTTGTTGTGTTTGTGATCTTTTGTTTGTCATGTCCTGTAATTGTGTGGGTTTTTAATGCTTAAATGGATGTTTGTTGTTGTATTATTAAGCTTACTGGGTGTCTCCTGGTGGATATGATCAGGAGACAGGCTTCCCTTTTCGCATGTAATATTTAGCAGCTGTTATTGGCTCTTGTCTCAATGGTGAAATATTATGGGGTATGCTTGTAGCTTGGCTATATGGCCACAATTGCTGTCTTTTCTTAGGTAATGTAGGGAGAAAAAGTTCCCACCTTCAGGAAAAATGTGTGATCAAAAGGCCCAAAAGTAGAAGCAATATAAAAGCTGAGATAAGAACCTCCACTTTGAAACAAAGATAAAATTGTGTGTACCGTAGAAGCCTCCAGTAGTGGGTTGGGGTGTCCACTCGCTCAGGCCCCTTCCCTAGTTACCTCAGTAGAGGTGTGCAGATAGATATTGAGAAGTTAGTGGAAGAAAGATTGTTACGGTTCTTGCTGCTGGCCTTGTCATCATGCGTATCTTTGCCATCACCCCCATCACTCCACAGCTCATAACCACCACCACCTTCATATGTGTATATGTGGTCATGTGCCATGGAGCTGGTTCAACTCAGAATGACCCTGTACAGAGTTCCTTAGACTGTAAATCTTTACGGGAGCAGAAAGTCTCATCGTTCTCCCGTGGATTTCCCGTGGAGTGGCTGGTAGATTTGAACTGCTGACCTTGTGGTTAGCAGCTCAGCTCGTAATCCACTACGCTACCAGAGCTCCTTTTATATATATAGAAAAACCTTTATAGGGTCACCGTGAGCCGTAACTGACTCGACAGCATGCAACCACCACCATGTATGCGTGTAATGTATGTGTGTATGTTTGTATACATGATTCAGTATGTTG